TTTCAAAATAGGGTTTCACACGCTCGTCTGGAGAAGCCGTGCGGGAAGAGGCCTCAAAACCACTCCTGCCTTCCTCCCACTCACTAGAACGTGAGCTGAGCCCTTCTACAAACTAACAAATGGGCACAAACATGATGGTATACACGTCATAGGCTGCTACGCAGATATACATCAAGCTGCCCACATCCACTTTAGAACTGGATTACTTATTCTATATAAAAGTGCTGAGGCCGATACCTGCCACAGGAAGTGTTCTAAGAGCGTTCGCTGCTGTTATGAAGTTCCTCTGACGTTTTTCCCTTGCCTGCGCGTTAAGCGAGTCCAGCCTCAATCCTTTTATGTGGCCCTGGCTGCCCAACACAGTGGCTGCGAGGAACCTAAACAGCAGCCAGCTGTGTGACTCCTGCTCCCTAAGCGACCAAGCGCTGAGAGGCCAGCGGGACCCGTGCGCCCGCTCCACCGGGGTCCCTGACCCCACTGGGCAGAACATGTCAAATCCTCGGGAGTTTTATTTCCTTACGACTCATTGTTGATGGCTTTGCTGTCAGGCAAGATTCTGGCTCCCATCCATCCCTCCTCGGTGCTCCTGATCCGTGGGAGCCCCTGCACGCCAGGCGCTGCCCTCACCGCTCCGGCGTCTAAAGGCTCCCACCCGGCCCTCCTTCAGCCAGAGAAACAGCCCTGCGCGGTGCCTGCATCCCACAAGGCCTGAGTCCCCTTCCGCTTCACTGCAAGGGAAAGAGTGGGGGAGCCCAGATGTGGCTGGAACAGGACAGGAAAACCATGAGATTTAGCACCTTTTTAGGAAAAGGCAAGAAGCTGGCAAGAAGACCTGGGAAAAGAAACCCTCCTTAATCATTGCAAGCCATAAGCCTTCTTTTCAAGGTAAAAAGAAACAACAACTTTATTTTTAAAAATTGCTTACTTGGCTTACCAGCACATGTCAGCTACAATAACCATAATGAACAAGAAGCGATTACTGTCACTGTATAAAATGGCTTTGAGGTACACTCACGCCCCCACACACACTCACCATACACACACACACACCACACACACACACCACACACGTGCGTGCACACACTCACACACACTCATTCACATGATCAGAGCTTTGAGCTCAGGAAACATTTCTCTCTGAGGAGGTGCGGGAAGACTGTTTTCTGGATAATTGTTTATTTCCACTGACGAGAAGCCTCGAGGACCCATATTAGGACAGGCTACTTGTTGCATAACCCGGCGACAGGCAGACCCTCACTCAGAGGTCACACTGACATTCACTGAGGGCGCCACACACGTAAGACTCACCTGA